TCAACCTGTTGTCCTCCCAAGCAACAAAGCTGTCATTCAGTTCTCGTCTGACCACATGCAGTCAGGTCAAGGGTTTAACATCTCTTACACATCGGTCAACGGGTCAGATTTCATGCCCATGGACAACAACAACACTCTGGACTGTTCAGGAAACGTGGCTATCCCTGAATGCCTTCGATGTGATCATTACCGGGACTGTTTGGGAGGGGAGGACGAGGAGGGCTGTGAGTACAGACGTCCCGGCTGCTGGCCGGAGGGCTTCTACAACGACCGGTTCTGCTACAGAATCATTGAGAACGAGGGTCCTTTTTCCTGGAATGAAGCCGCAGAAAAATGTGAAAAGGAATTCTCAGCTAATCTCTTGACTATCACGACAAAACAGAAAAGAGAGTTCGTCAATGGTTTGATCAGCTACCACGCGCCTGTTTTGTCTAAAATGTTTCTCGGACTAGTGCGCATGCGCCTGCAACAGGTCCGACAGACATACAGACGTCTATGGCAGTGGTCAGACAGGACAACAGCTCTGTACCTCCCTGATGAGTACCGTTACGAAGGTTGGTCTACTTGCTCTCTCCTGCACGGTGACTACTTCTACTCTATCGACTGTACAGATGTCAAAGAAAACGTGAGCTTTATCTGTGAGACGGAAATGATTAAGCAGAACCCGGGCAGTGTTTGTGGAGTGAAGAAACGTTTTATACAAAACCAATCTCCTCCACAGATCAATACGTTTAAATGTTCATCGGGAGAGTTGATTTCTGAAGACCGTGAGTGTAACAGAGTCGAGGACTGCTTTGATGGGAGTGACGAACTGGACTGTAATTTCGACTTGCAGGAAGAACAGATGTTTTCTTGTGAGACTGGCGAGGAGCTGGTGATGAATAGCGCCGTCTGTGACGGTATCGGAGACTGCACAGACGAGTCGGACGAGAGTTTTTGCCGACTCCCCGAGAAAAATATGTTGGGCCCCGAGATGTGTATATGCACCAACAGAATGGTACTCAACAAAACGTTTCGGTGTGATGGCCGAGAGGACTGTCTGGACGCCTCAGACGAGGAAGACTGCTCTGCGTGTGGCTCGGGAAGTTTTCTCTGTCCAATGATCGCCTGTCTTCCCAAATCCTGGCAAAATGACTTAGAGATAGATTGTCCCATTAGGGACATCCGCGGGAAACGAGCACCGGAACCGAATTTCCCGGAAAATATATTCGAGTCTACTCCTCCACCAGGTATTGTGAAGCCAGATGGTTACGGCAAAGTTCAGATTGAAAAAATGGACCGTCATTCTCAGCCCTGCCCTGAGACGCATCAGAAATGTGTTCACGGTTATTGTATCCCCATCTACATGTGGTGTAACGGCCAGAAAGACTGCCCACATGGAGAGGATGAGGAGGAGGAGATGTGTGCCAAAACCTGCCCCGGACTTTACAAGTGTAAAAAGTCAAAGGTGTGTCTTCACAGTCAGCACGTGTGTGACGGCCAGTACCAATGTCCCAATCATGATGACGAGAATCTATGTCAATATTTAAACGTCACTTCCCCTCCCAGCTGTACCAGAAAACAAATGGACTTTACCTGCACTTCCCTCCCCGACTTCCAAACACTTACTCACGTGAAGTTTCTCAACGTAAGCCGCAGTGGGATAAAAGACTTTCGCCTCGTCAATGTCGCTCGGTACGCTCTAATATTCCTGGACATATCTTTCAACAACATTCACAGCCTGACAAATACACAACTTGACTTTCTCAACTTAAGAACTCTTAATGCCAGGAGTAACGCCATCACCAGCATTGATTACACTACTTTCAAAAACTGTCCTGTGTTAGAGAAGCTAGTCTTAGCAGACAATAAAATCACAAATCTCTCGCTATCGTACTTTTGCAATATGAAAAGCTTACAAAAATTAGACCTCTCTGGAAACCCCATCCGGAAGCTGCAACCGTTTCGATCGACATGCACAGAAGGCTCGTCCACTCTGAGATATCTCAATCTACGAAATATGGGTTTGATTTATTTAAACGACGACGCATTTTGCTCATTTCCTCGTCTGAAATCTTTGCTTCTAGAGGGAAATTCCATTACTCTGTTCACCCCGAATGTTTTTAAGTTCCAGGGCAGTCTGAATTACTTAACTACTGATAATTTTCGCCTGTGTTGTTCTTCAGTAAAACCAAAGTCACTAGACGACTCAAAATGTCTCGCTCCTTTTGATGAGATCAGCTCCTGCGACGATATCCTTCGCGCCATGTTTCTCCGGGTGACATTGTGGGTAATGGTGTTTTTGACGCTTAGCGGAAACGTTAGCGTGATAATCTACAGAATTTTCTTTGATAAATGCATCAAATACAGCTTCCGAATCATCATCACATGTCTGAGTGCGTCAGACCTGATCATGGGAGTGTATCTCGTCATTATAGGCAGCGCCGACGTCATCTATAGGGACCGGTATTTCGTCGTGGAGAGAGAGTGGAAAGAAAGTGTTGCGTGCCAAGTGGCCGGGTTTCTCTGTGTTCTGTCTAGTGAGACCTCCGCCATGTTTATCCTGCTTGTCACTATAGACCGTTTCACCGCAATCGCATTCCCGCTCCGCATACACCTTCACTTCACCAAAAAGTCTGCCAGCATCGCTTGTGCTGTGGTTTGGTCTATCGGCGTCTGTATAGCAGCAATCCCTCTTGTACCCCCTTGGAACCAATGGAACTTTTACTCCCAAAAAGCCATCGGTGTTCCTCTCCCTATCACACGCTTCAGCTACCCTGGCTTCGACTACGCCTTTTCAATCTTTATCCTGTTCAACATGGCTATTTTTATCCTGGTTATCCTGGGCCAGATCGGGATCTATCTGTCCGTACGCCTCCTGAGCGTCCCGCGTATCTCGGAGCAACGCCTGTACCAGGACACGGCCATCGCCAAACGCCTGGTGCTGGTGGTGTTCACAGACTGTCTCTGTTGGTTCCCCATCTGTGTCATGGGGCTGGCGGCCTGCGCAGACTTCCCCGTACCCGGTGAGATGTACGTGGTCGCGTCTGTCATCCTGATGCCAGCTAACAGCGCCATCAATCCCTTCCTCTACACGGCGAACGCTGTGCTGGTGGCGAGGAAAGCCAGGCGGAGGAAGAAGAAAGGAAAAGACTCAATTGGATTGAGACCTGCCAACAAATGACCAGTGCTCAAGGTTTGGGAAATATTTTGTATTTACTCTTCGGTCTATTCAGGGGGGGGGGGTCAAACTGGCGTCTGTGGTATAGCTCTTAGACACATCGCAGTCGCACGCAGGAGACCTGACGTCGATTCCCGCATGAGGAGAATTTCCATGTTATATCTCTGTCTTTCTGCTGGGATATTGTTTATCTTTCAGTCCAGGTAGGTCCCTAACAAGCAGAGCGAAATCCCGCTTTTTAAATGGCTTATTTTGTGTTGATACGGGCGTGAGAAACCACATTGCAAAGGGGCATTTTCTTGGTTATGTCAGACCAATACTATGTGCCAGGTTGAAAAATAATATAGGGAGAGGTCAGTTACCGCCCTTAATTTTTTACAAGATGTAGACATGTTGCACATCAAAAGGCTAAACAATACAGATATGCATACACGGTGTGGGCTAACGTATCGGAACGGAGGAATCGTTGTGCTGGGGAGACAATATTATACCATATTGAGAATGGACTGAGGCACGAAGTATAATAAGGTAAAGCCAAGCTGTCGTTTTATAACAACAACAGCTGTTCTCTCTCTCTCCCTCTGTGGTTTAGCGTATAAGCGCCAAGCCAAGTATCTCCACTTTCTGCCCGGTCTCCGTATCCCTCTCAGGCCGAAATGGCCTTTACTGATAAGGTCGAAGTTGCCCCCCTCCCAAATGATCAAAATAGTGTCAATGCCAACGATTATATTATGTATTTATTATTGTTATTAAAGTCCATTTTCCACATGTTGCCATATTTACTGAAACTGGCGCCATTTCCTTAACATGTTTGCTTGCAGATTCTATTATCTTTTCCCTTAGTTCTTAAGGTCCGAGCCGCCTCACCCTCCACTGCGACCGCAAACCCTAATCCTCCTACTACCCCACCCACCATCACCCATCACACCCATCCACACACTCCACCCCCCAGCTCAAATCAACTACCCCCTATTCCACCCACCCGTTCTCAATCCCCATTCCAAACATGAAGTTCCGTGGAAGGCGTGCAACAAGCCCGAACCACCCCCTTCCCAAAATATAAATATTGTTATATAACTCCATCCCCCGCCTTCCTCAATCCATAACCCACCCGTACCTCCTTCTCTCTAGACCCCTAGCGACAGTTGAATAAAACAGCTTCACCATTCTCCCTTCTTTTCTATTTTTTTTGTTGTAAAACCCAAAGATGTACTGTAATATCCTAGACCGTGCACTCTGATGTATTTCCGGGTCACTTTAGCACGCACCATTTGACTAAGTTAATTTGAGTCATATGTAAAGTAAGAGGGGAAAGGTGATGCACGTACTAGACTATAAGAATACTGATTCTTCGCCCTTCATGTGAGCGCAATGGTGCTACCCATAATGCACAAGCTTCACGAAGAAGTTTTTCTAGAGAGCAAAAAGCGTTGGCATGATCTAGAACTACAATTCTACGGAGAACACATTTTTCTAAAACGCATCTCACGGCGTCTCTAAAGTCACCGGACTGCATTTCTCTCTTGCTTTTATAGTATTTATTGCTACTTGCAAGATTGAGAAGCGCATAGAACTTGCTGTTGAGCGGAAATGTGCGCTATACAAATGCTAAGTATTATTTTTTATGGTGGATAAAGCTATAGCGAGGAAGTGTTCAAAACAACCTTGATGTGCTGTTCTGAGTATAGAGGAGCCCGATATCTTATAGTAAACACACAGCTGTCGTGCAGTCCAGTAACTTTGATGCGCCCTGATAAGGAACAAAATCTACAGAGGGAGAAAATAACTGCAAGTTTGTTGTCGTTGGCAGGAGATTCACTGGCCACTCTCCCCACCCTAC